GGCAGCAGAAAATAAAAGACCATTCCGTCCAACCAAGAAACTGAGAGAACCATTACTTCATAAGTGGAAGATACCAGCTTGGGTGCCGGGAGATGCTCCAGACCAGGCAGAGCTGACACCCCCACCCATGCCCCCTTCCATGAGATTGAAGATGACACCCCCCCCCAGCCCCCTTCCCTGAGATTAGAGCTGACACCCCCACCCCAGCCCCCTTCCCACAAGGCAGAGCCTCCAGGGCGGCGTGCTGGCTCAGGGGCACGGGCCCTGGGATGTGGGTAGCTGTAGGAAGACGGAGAGCTCCACAGGCACACACACAAGGTGATGCACGGAAGAGAGAAAGTCAGGGGGACACAGGCAGGAGCGAGGCCAGGCGCTGCAGTGACGGTGACTGGAAAACAGGGACAGTGGGGGAAAGAGAGAAGAAAAGGGGGCGTCTGCACTCCTTCCTGACCCTCTCCTGTCCCCTCCCCCCCGGGCAGTCCCCACCCGGCCAGGTTGGCCCTGGCCATGCCCACCACCGTCTCCTCCCCCACCCCTCCCCAGAGCTGCATCGACTGGAACCGGGCGGTGCTGAAGCGGGAGCTGGGCCTGCGGGAGCGGGACATTGTGGACATCCCGCAGCTCTTCAAGCTCCGCACGGACTTCACAGGGACCCCCAAGGCCGAGGCCCTTTTCCCAAACATGGTGAGGAAGTGGCCTTGAGTGAGACAGGCCAGCTGGGCTCTGGGTGCGGCCCACGGGGCTTGTTTGTCTCCTCATGCCCTGGGTTTTCATGGCCCATCCGGCTTCCTGTGGGCATCTCAGAGGCACCCGGGGAGTCAGGGGGTGATCGTCACCCCCACTGACAGAGGAGGCACAGGGAGGGGGTTCTCTGGCACAAGAACACACAGCTGGCGAGAGGGGGATGCAGAGCCAGGGGTCCACGGCAGAGCCCACACTCTAACCATTAGGCTGCACTGCCCGAGACGGGCTTCCCTGCACGGGAGGTGGGGCGGGGAGGGGGGCGGGGGGGGGGAGGTAGGAGTGGGCTGGGGGACACACGCAGCAAACAAAATGCTCCCAGGTTGGGTGAAGTGCCGTGAAGGAAATAAAGGTGGGGCACCTGTTCAGACTGGGTGGCCGGGAAGGCCTCTCTGAGGAGGTGGCATTGGCAGTGCCGGGGGGCACTCACCTGTCTGACGGGGGGACTTGAGGGGCCCCACCTTTTTGTGGAGAAATTTTAACTGTGACCCAAGCCCCATCTTACCTCGCTGGCTGTGTTTTTACCACTCCTCCACCTGCTACTCTGTCTCTTCAAAGTAACTTCACCCACTTCTACTGGGGCCCCTCTGCCCCCTCCCCCTCCTGCTGGAGCTGGGGTTATAGTTGAGGAAGAAGCAGAGTGGTCTTCAGACTGGGTTCCCCAGGACGCTAGGGTTCCATGGCAGTGCCTCTCAAATCCAGTGGTTACGATTTCTTCTGTTTTATGCACTGAAGTTTTGCAGAAGGTTTTGTTTAGAATAAAGGACTCCTTGGCCAAAACCAGGCAGGAGGGGGCACCTCCTCTCACCCCGAACAGAACTCCTTGGCCCCAAGCATTTGTTTCTCTCCCTCGGGCCCAGCCAGGTCTCCCAGCTCCGGAGAGAAGGCTGGTGCCGCCTGCGGGGGGTGAGGGTCTCAAATGCTGTGTGAGGGCTGGCTCTGGGCCTCACCGCCCGAGGCCCCTGCAGGGAGGCTCCGCACAAGCCTCGCTCTCCCATAGCCCGCAGCGGGAGGTGGGCGCGGGCGGGGAACAGGCAGAGAAATTAAGAGTGCAGGGCACTCAATGTGGGCTGTGTCTGAGCGCTGACAATGAGATACCTCGTCAGTGATTCATGAGCCCTGGAGACTGACTCTGCACCTACTGTGTTGTCATAGCGATGGAAACGGGGTAGGGCTCATTTTGCTGATGAGGCTCAGAGAGGGCAAGGGACTTGCCTGAGGTCACACAGCTACTGAGTAGTAGAGCTGAGATCCAAACCCACGTTAGCCTGGAGCCAAATCCTAGTCTTTCCATCTCACTAGGCCACCTCCCAGTATAATGGAGGAAACAGCCATTTGCATAAGTGATAATAGACAGAAAGTGCTACAAAGAGGTCATCACATTCATCCATTCAACGGATATTTATTAAGTGCCTACTGTGTGCCAGGCACTGTGCTTGGAGCTATGGGAACATCCATGAGGAGTTGGGGATTCGCAGGGGCCTTCACACAGGGGATGGCATTTGAGCTGAGCTCAGCTGAGTAGTAGAGTTGGCCAGAAGGTGGTGGGTGGGGAAGGAGCCTGGGTCCCAGAGTCTGACAGACTTGGGTGGAAGTCCTAGACTAGCTGGTGGTCTTAGGTAGCCCACTATACCGTGTGGGCCTCCGTTTTCTCATCTGTGAAATGGGGTCGTTATTTCCGAAGGTCAGAAGGAGGGGGCGCTGGGATAGTGATGCTGGCTGCCCGCCACCGCCCCTGACCTGACCTCCCGGCTCTGCAGGTGAACATGCTGGTGCTGGGCAAGTACCTGGGCATCCCCAAGCCCTTCGGGCCCATCATCAACGGCCGCTGCTGCCTGGAGGAGAAGGTGCGGTCCCTGCTGGAGCCGCTGGGCCTCCACTGCACCTTCATCGACGACTTCACCCCGTACCACCTTCAGCACGGGGAGGTGCACTGCGGGACCAACGTGCGCCGGCAGCCCTTCTCCTTCAAGTGGTGGCACATGGTGCCCTGAGGCTGTCCCCCGGGAGGCTCTGGTCCCCTGCAGTGTGGCATAGCAAGAGTTCTTGGGGACACGTTGGCTCCCCAGGGGGAGGCCCCCCTCCGGGCAGTGGCTTGCTTCTGTCCCCTGTGTCCCCTCTGAAGATCCCAAGATGGTCCTGGCATTGCAAACTCAGTTCTGCTGTGAGAAGCTTCAATAAAGTTTCATAATAGTCACTTCGTACATGAAGTCAAGCGACCATTCATTCACTCTCACTCGCTGTCATGGTTGAACCGAACATTGCAAACTTGAAGGCCAGTGTTCCTGCCTGCGCCCGAGAATTGGATGCCGTTCATGTTGTGCTTTGGGGAAAAGGCAGCAGATGGGTGATGTAAGAGCCCACAGGGGACATAGGGTTTGACTGTGTGTCAGTGGGCCCAGGGGTTAGCGAACCCCCTGTCCTCCCTTGATCATTTCAGTCCTCAGCTTGAAAGCCCCTGAAGCAGGGGCTCTTGCTGCTGCTTCGCCACAGACCACCTAGCGGGGTGGGGTGCACAGTAGGAGCCCTGGGTGATTGTGGGGTGGATTCATTAGTCCCTTCTTCTGTGTCCTTTTTGCATATTTTCTTTTATGGCCCTGACATGGGGACATAGATTCCGCAATAGGAAATAAAACATGACGACCTGAGGTCTTTGAAATGGAGGCCGTGTCTTGGCTCAGAGAGCTGGGAGCTCAGATGCCCAGAGGTACTGCTGTCCTGTGGCTCGTGGAGGACACGGGTGGGTAAGATGGGCATGCGAGGCCTCTGCCCTCACACTAGGGAGAAAGGGGCCATGAACCTGGGGAGACGTGCCTCCTGCCTCCTGCCTCCTGCCTCCTGCCTCCTGCCTCGCTGGAGAGAAGCAGCAGCTCCCCGCCCGCAGTGCTGGGCACGATGCGTCAGCATTTCTTACGAAGCAAAAAAGGTGCCTGTGCAAGAGGATGTTGGTGTGAGGTCATCCCCAAACCTGGCTGATAGGGCTGCCCGGAGCTGAGGCCTCCTCAGGCTGCAAAGAACGGAGAGAGGAGCTGGTGGCTAAAGCAGCCCTTGCACCCAGGCCAATGCAGTGAGCACCCCCAGCCATTCATGGGGGGCGGGGGCTTCTGTGGAGGAGCCAGGGAAGCCCAGGTGGAGAAAGCACCAGGTGTCAGTCCTCCCCGCCCCACAGAGCCGGGGCCATCCTGTGACAGCGCCTCGCTTGCCTGCTGCCCCCGCCTCCCCCAGGGGCCACAGGTTATTCTCCTGCAGCCGCGGTAACAGATCACCACAAACGGGGTGGCTAAGAACATAGAAATTCATTCTCTCGTAGTTCTGGAGGCCAGAGGTCCGAATTCCGCTCCACGGGGCTGAAGTCGAGGTGTCGGCAGGGCCGGTCCCCTCCGAGGGCCCCAGGGGAGCCTGTTCCTCTGCTCTTCCTCCCTCTGGTGGCTGCCAGCTGCCTCGGCTGGTGGCTGTGTGGTCACAGCGCCCTCTCCTCTGAGGGCGTCCAACCTCCTCTGAGGGGGTTCCTCTCTCATAAAGAGACTTGCGATTGCATTCAGGGCCCACCCAGATGATTCGGGATAAGGTCCCATCGCAAAGACTCGGTCACACCTGCAGGTTCGGTCACATCTGCTAAGGCTCTTGCCAGATGAGACCCGCAGGTTCCCGGGATTGGGGCCTGATAGCTTTGGGGGCTGTTATTCAATCAGCTGCAGGTCAGGAACCACCCCTCCCAGCTGGGCAGGCAGAAAGAATAGAAGGAAGCCGGCGTCCCCTTCCCACAGCCCCAAGCCTTATCCCTCCACTAAACCAGCGTTCTCAACCTGTGGGTCGCGACCCCTTTGGCGGTCGAACGACCCTTTCACAGGGGTCGCCTAAGACCATCCTGCATATCAGATATTTACATTACGATTCATAACAGTAGCAACATTACAGTTATGAAGTAGCAACGAAAATAATTTTTTGGTTGGGTCACAACATGAGGAACTGTATTTAAAGGGCCAGAGGTTGAGAACCACTGCACTAAACCCTAATCATTAGGGCCTAATGGGAAAACCTTCCCTTTACAAGCCTGAGTTTGAAGGTTTTCTTTTGTGTGGGTCTGGACTTCTGAACTTCTGAACGGAGATTGTTTGGCAACTGTCTGATCCCTGATTCTGAGAGGGGGACTGGCCCGCCGGAGGCTTGGGGTGGGGAGGGGGCTCGCAGGACCCACACCTGGGAGGGGGCGCGGGGAGCAGCGGGAGAGGATGGGCTGGGAAGTGGAGGCCACAGAGTTTCGGGTAATCCCCTGGGGAGCTCTGGGGCTGGGATGGCCCTCAGAGTTGTCCTGAATTAAGAGGAGCCGTCTGGCCTTTGTCCCCCACATCGCATGTAGCTGCACCCCAGGAGGGGGTGTAGCCTTGGGGAGTAGGAGTAGCCGGTTCCAGAAGGCCTTGCTGTGAGCCATCACAGCAGCTGGGGGTGGGGGTGAGTGTGGGGGTCAAGGGCGCCCACCACGGTGACCTGAGGAGCCATGGGGCTTGACCACCGAGGAGTGGCTGGAGAACTCCCTGCACTCAATAGCGCCCGCAGCCGTGGGCCAGCCCCTGCAGAACTGCCTTGTGGGTGCAAACCCCTCGTTTGGTTGGAGAGCCCCATGGGCGCCTATGGGTTATGGGATGGAGGTGGGGTGGGGGTCAGTTAGCCATTTGCTGCCCAAGAATCTATTGAGCATCTACTATGTCCAGGATTCCTATGCGAGCTGGGGGTTCAGGGGTGAACAGGAAGCCCCCCTGGAGGGGGAGCAGGACCCCCTCTAGATCTCTCCAAGTCCCTCTCAAGCCCAGAAAAATCAAGGGTGCCCGCCCCCACTAAGCTCACACAGAGCCCGGGCATTAAGCAGGGCTCTCTGAGGACTGGGAGCACAGAGCTCCCAGAACCCCTCCCCACCCCACCTAACCATCGCTGCCCTGTAGCCCCTCTGGCCAGCTGTGTGAGCAGATGGGCAGGCAAGGGTGGGTGAGCCCCTTGTGGGGAGAGCACAGATGTGTGGAACACCACTTGCCTGATCAATTTTGCCACTTTCAACCCAGCCGGAGGGGCTTTTAAGGTCTCCTTGCCAACACCCTGCCTCCGAGAATCCCCAAAACAGAGCCACATATCTTTACTTTTAATCCAAAATTTAATAAAGCCTGGCTGAACCGATAGCAGCCTATACTCGTTACCCAGCTTACGCCCACCTTGCTGTAAGCTGGTATATCGCAGTGTCTTCGGTTCCGGCTTGAAACTGACAACTACTGGCTTCTAGGTCCTCTTTGAGCGGACAGCCGTGCTTGGAATACAATACAGTCCTATAAAAGGACAAGCTGAATATTAACCTGCGGATTCGAAGACCTTCTGGGTG